GCCACTTTTTGATTAGTGCAAGGATTGGCTTCCCATCATATACACTTTTGAAAATAGGGTTCTATTTGGTCACGAAAACGAGTTTTGGACAAAAATTTCCGCCAAAAAATAACCTTCTCAGTAGCTATAGATTTTACGCACATACTCCTAACAAATGAAAAAGGGCCTTTAGAAAAATGACGCAGATTGTGCAACATGGTTCATGAATTCCGTCCGAAGATTCTTTCAGGATAGCAAACGCACGCATTAAGTTTCATCTTGTAAAGCATATGATTATAGATATTGGGGCGTATATAGCCCTAATCTCTTTTTAAAATTTCAATGGGTGTGAAGTATTCTTTATCAATTGAAGAAAGCTACTAAGTAAAAACGCTTAGTGGGTCACTTTTGGTAAGCAGAACTGGTGGATTGAACAAATTGTTGAGCAGGTATATTTCGCAATATTACTACGTCTGATTGTAATGCCAGCGATGCGATTGGGATTAACGGAGTGGTCAGTTGCTGCTAGAAGCGTGATGTTAAATGAATCAACCCAATACATTGAACATTTTTTGCGAAAGTGTCAAGGGACGTAGCCGATGCCTTTGCTTCTATGTCTACTGCCGCAGTCACATTTAGGCCAGATTTCAACGAAAGCAGCTATCGCACCTCAAAGGTACATAGCTAATGACGATCTAAGGAGAAAACCGTTTAGGTATCAGAACGTTCTCAGTGTAATATCTATGTAACAGTTTTTTCGTTCTCTTCATTTTTGAGGTTCGATCTTCTTTGATCCGCACCCCACTCCTGTACAACCTTTACAAGCAGAATCATATTTCTTCATCATCATGCAGAATCATATTATCGTATTTTCGCAGCTTTAATATATGTTAATGTTTACTGGTTCAATTGTACGTTCTCAATGTGCTAATGTTCGAACTGTGCTACTCATAGTACGTAAATCTTCCTAAGTGTATCCTATGTCTATGTGTTTTTTTTGGTCGAGAGCACGCAGTCTTTGCTAACAAAAATGATCCAATTCTTGCACAATCCAACTGCAATTTGAGGGCAGTAATGTATCTTTGTAACCACGTTTCTTTTAGCATGTTTAAGTCAGTTTCAGGTTTCAACTTCTACTACAGCCTACTGTGTTTAGCAAATACCTACTGAACCTTCGAGCACTTAACTGGATATTTTAATAGTCATATTGTAATATTTTTTCTACTAGCGATAAACTACGAGTTTGCGCGTTTTTCGTCTGAGTTCCCTACACTTGTTGTTTTAAATTGCTCAATGACCGACCGCAATATCGAACATGATTTCATTCTCTTATTTTGTGTAAAGATCTGCCGTAGCCGCATGGTCAAACCTGAAATACCTTTAAAACCCACCTTTCTCATTGCGTATTGGGTAGTATGTTTGACTAAGCTCAGATGTGCCACGATGATAACGCAACCAATGCAGATATTATTTAAAGAGTAAGGAATTTAATAGCTTAAAATTACATATAAAAATCGTTGCAACGGTGGGTGAGCAAGGATTTTTGCATACTTTAAAATTAATATTAATCGAATTCTTTCGTTTGTCTTGAATATATATCTTTTTAGGGCTTACCGCGTTTGCAGATTTATGGTGTTTACGGCTTACCAAATTTGAAAAGGTAATTTGCTTGACTCGGAATTGAGTTCTTTACTGTCTTGCATATAAATTTGGGTGAAGCCACAATTCAAATGAGCGAATGCTTTTTGAGTCACTTTATATAAAGCTCTCAATAACCAGTTAAAGTCTAAGAGTCAGTGAAAAAAAAGTGTATGAACAACTCCGAACGATTAGTACCATTCTAGTCGTGTATATATAGACAATAACGCTGTATATTAACATATCCACTAACTGTTACTGAGCAAATTCTTATCTAGAGCCATTGTAGAATTCTCGATAGTTAAAGATAGATATAGCATGTAGGTGTCGACAATGTTAGACCTCGAGCAGCAAACTGATGATACACGCCCAATCAACAAAGCCATATATTATTACAATTCGAGCAATATGTTCCAGGGCTCGCGAATTGCGAAAGAATTGTTATACCATTTGCATTATTTCCATCTCTAACAAAGTAGCGAATATACGACCCATATGTATATATGATTTTCAAAGCCCTTATATAATTCCATTTTAGCATTAAGTGGGTTCTGATCTAGTAGCATAAAATTGGGCAGATGAAGAGGTTACTGGTAAGCAGGTCGACAACTTTCGGGATTGAAATATTTTTAAGAAGACTAGATGACAGCAATGGAGTGTGCATTATCGAGATAAAGAACCCAACAAGCCCCCCTTTTGAGCTCTGGAACCTTACCAGGCCAGTTCTTATAAAAATATATTACAAATACTATTCATACTATACAAATACTACTAGTCATTACAGACTATAAAAGAGTGCGATAAAATTTAGCTGCATATGCGTTTCTCCGTTAGCATTATTGCAAGCTAGTTAGAAGGACGGGGGCTTTCGCAGTCTTACGCGCTCAAATTGTCGTTAGGTCTTTCGCCGGTAATATCCCACATAACTCACTTTTATTATTATTATAGTAATAATACATATTAATAGCCTTCGTTTAGGCCCGAGAATATCGTGCAATAAAGAGTTAGAAGGATTAATATTTCTAAACAGATATTAATCCTTCTAACTTGATGAGAGGTTTCTATACTAAAAGCGAATGTGAATAAATGAAATTCGATTTATTAGTTAAAAGCAAAATTCTAATAATTTTTCCCGTTTTTTTCTCAAAAATATAAGGTTATAAATCGCACGATAACGTAGCGTGACGGTTCGAGGCTTTTAAAAAACAATACATAGTGCACCACAATTTATTCTACTAGTGTAAGCATCATCTGCGTTGGGAAGCTAATTTCGGAAATTCATACTTTAATTCCACTGATTCAATTTTGGCGTTTATCTACGGTTTAGGTTTATTTTAAAATATAACAGCGGTGAAGATAAGTGTATGCTAAATGAAAGTTTTTTCTGTGCCCCAAGTTTCATACTATAATGTTATGCAGCGTTACAATTATCATCTGTATTCGATTATTTTCGAAAATGCGAGTATTGTCCACGGCTTCTGTCAAATAAACTACAAATGGGATATTATAGTTAAAAATAGAAGGTTCTTTTTATTGAGCGAGTTTACTCCAGCCCAAGTATATTAAATAATTGTACCAAGTGGCTAGCCCATGGAAGGTTATTTTATGAAAAATAACATAAAAGCGAGGAGGAACATAAAGATATTAACCGCCAGGCACAAACAAGTTTTAAAAATACATAGAACCTTCATAATAACTTTTTTCATAATAAGTTTTGAGTACCGTGGTATCAAAAAGAGAGAATTACTGTGGCATCATTTTCTGTTGTAATTAAATTTCAATAATATAACGTGTATGAATGTTCAAGTTTCCACAGAGGATTCCTCGGAATTAGTTTATTTCTCCGGATAAATACTGTTGCCTATAGGTGGCAAATGTAGTAATTAATATTTCATCATTTATGTATTGTTTTCTGCTGTGAACTGAATCTCACATCGAATCCAAGGTCCAAAAGTATTATTCCCAAGCAACAAAAAGTGCATTTTTGCCACCTGAAAAATGGATTATCGAGTCCCGACATGTCACCTTGAATATTGCGAACCATTATTAAGCCATTTTTCCAATAATAATCAACAGTTCGCCAGAATCATACGACCGACGTATCATGGTGAAAGGAAATAGCTATAAAAAAACTGGGCACGAAATTGCATAGTAGTGTAATAAATTTAGTGGCTCTAGGAATAAAAGATTCTCATTGGAAAAAGCTAGTCCACTGAGTTTCAGGGTCTACCTTGCTCCCGCAGGAACGTGGTAGATGGAGTGTTAGAGCTACTGGCGTGACGTAACTTGTTCGACCCCGGGTGGGGAACTTTTCAAGATATTCGAGCTATTATTAGTGCCAGAACAGTAAAGACTTGATTTTACCATAACCATCATTACCATCTTTCCCTCCCTTATTTATAATGCTATTCAAAATGTATATATCACTGTACTGGTACACACTTGAGATCGCGGGGTTTTAGACATTGCAAAATAAAGCCCTGCTTTCGCTGTGGTCAAAAACGTGACTTTACAGCGTTCACGCTAATCAGTAGCCATCTTTCTCTTCTACCGCGCATCAATAAATGTTTCATTTTCACAAATAGAGTTTTGTCCATTATGTTAACATGCGGGCTCTCCGAAAATACCTGTACATTATATTAGACCCTTATCCGATTAAAAAATAGCTGAAATAAACGTGTTCGTCGCGGAGTCATCGTGGTCAACATCAGTAACATTGCAAATCGGCTCATCTAATAACTGCTGAAAAATATTCCCCAGCCATTGTATTTGTTAAATTTAGATATCTGCGTTATAATGCTTCAATTAACAGTGTTCAGGCGAAAATAAACACTTCGAAGAAAGAAGCGATGAAATTACCTGAAAAATTCAATAAATGCTATACAAGCTTTACCTGCGTTGTGGGCGTATGTTTTTTTTCTATAAACTTCTAAAAACTATAAATAAGGATATTTTATGCTTCTACCTGATTTATTTCACGCGTATGATATACGAACTAGCCTAATCTAATCATCTTCCATGGTTAAATACGTTGCATCTAGCTATGTTTCAGCATTTTATATTAACTTTTACTGAGGTTTTACGATTCCGGCAAATATTCGGAACAAATAATTTTAGAAATTAGCTGACACGCAGTTCTTATTTACATTACAAGCTTTCAGTAATAACCTGAAAACTCGTTAAATAACTGAAACTAAGTGAGGTTTTTTTAGAACACACGAAATGGGCATAAGTAGGTTAACAGCAGAAGTAGTGTTGTATTAACCCTGCCATCTTCGTAACTTAAGCTTTTCTTTGTTCCTGTATTAATATTGGAAATACACAGAGCTTCGCGTGTATCTGTTTCAATTGTAGTAGTCTAATAAAAGTGCATCAGTTATGGCTGATTGTTACCATGGTTTTATATTTTATTACATTCAACAGCATAATATCAATCAATATAATTGATGACGACAAGACGAGGTATAAATACAATGACGAGGACAATATTCATCCTTAATGTCCACTTAACAGCATAAGACCACACTTCACATTAAGCACACTGTAGTAAACGTGTGACCAATACGTTGCAGTACTGATCCCGACAGCACAAAATATGCGACAATATATTCAGTTACATTTGTATAGTTTAAACTACACAAATTGTGTGCGCGGCTTAGACGGCAACGTGTCTTACATTTTAATACAACTGTAGACCCCGAAACAAATCGGAATGAACGGAAGCAAACATTCTTGCGAAATACTTAAAACACAGAAATCTTATACAACTAACAAAGATTATATAAAAATGGTTCGAAAACAGGTGGCATCCGCTGAAACAAGGATGTAATTGCCAAAAAAGGACAAAAGCTTAGTATTATCTCACGAAGAAAGTCTGGTTCGGCAAAACTCGCTCTGAGATTCGGGAGCACCCATTAGAACTAGACTCAACCTACAAGTTTTCTTTTTGTTGAACATAAAGCCGGATCTTCGGTTACTATATATTTGAACAACCATACGCATCCAAACTGAGTGAATCAGTTGATAAAACAAAGCACAATATTGCACATGGCCTCCAAATTTCTTTATATTTCGCGTTCGAAGACTACACTTGCCGCTTATCGAACCCGACATCTAAAGTAACATTTTTTTAAGACTATCTCTTTTACGTCTTTGTTAAATTACTTGAGCAGCTTGCTCGTGTATAACTTCTATATGCATTTTGTGCACTTCAAGCACTCGAGTTCCCAGGACTCATTCATTCGTAGAATCGATATGTCATAACAACAATAATGCGATGCGTCATCCTCAACATGTCGGGTTACATTCAATCACACAAATCAATTATTGAAGTACAATCGTCAGTAACATCTACCACGGGACTGTTCACATGAGACGATCAGAAGAACAATTGACACACCGAAGACATTGCTCTATAAAACAAGTAACACTAATGTATTTCGGACTATAACCTTTACAGGGCTACACACGAGTACTCCTGGGCGACACACACTTTCAAAGGACATTTACACACAAATTATAATTATTTAGCTGTCGAAGTTTTCACCACACAAAAAAAAGGGCTGCTTGTGCTATTGACTGAGTATTATAACATTACAATACTCAGCATGCTTTTGAAGCTGTCCAAGTTTTCGTCCTCGACAAGAATCCGGTGACTGCCAACATTCGGATCTCTTTACCATTTGTTGTCCCATCCTTCATCCCATTCATGATGGACCTCCTTAACGAAGACGGGCTTGTGGATGATCTTTGGGGGTTCGTGCACGTTGATGATTTCATGATGTACGACAGGTTTCGGCTGATGCTTGATAATTGGAAGAGGCAACACGACAGGAATAACAGGGTTTTTTAGTAGCTTCTTGACCGCTTTCTTTACAACGAACCTAGCGATTTTGTGGTGATCAGCCGATGAATTGTGCATGAAGCATAAAATAACGCCGACAACTAATAGGACAGCTCTGAAAATACGCATGACGTCTGCTGTCTGTGCGATAGGGATCACAAGAACACTCAGAACACCACGACAACCACAAAAACAAATTAACACGACAAGCTGGACACCTAAGGACGAACACACTACGTACTGCTGCCGATGTTTGATCGCGCTGTTCGATGCCCAAATCTCTGTCCGACAAGCCCTTATATCCATCCAGCTCAGAACGGGAGTCTAATTCGTTACCTGCGCCTGCTGTTTTAGGGGCAAGACAGTCAGTAGGATCGCATCCCTTTCTCTAAATAATCATTCAAAATCAGCCCGACCAATTCAAACCATCGTTGCTGTTGTCGCCGCCGCTGCTACTATTTGTGTTATGCTACTATTAATGTCGTCTCAGTCCCTAAAATATACGGTATAAAACGTATAGAAGTAGTGGCAGCGCTGATGCTGATGGTTGTAGCCTATTAGCTGACGGTTTCTGCACGCTCCTACGATGACGGCGATTCGGCAACAAGGGCCGGGAGGAATTAGATTCACGTCACTGAACGCGTGACGCGAGCATGGATAGTCGCACAAGCAATAGCCCCAGCAACAATAACAGTAATACTTAGACCAATGGAAAACAACGACGATGACAACTGTAAAGTCATAAGCTGCGGCAATAGCTCCACTAAATACAGCACCAACAGACCGAAACCAGCTGAAGGACCGACCGGTCACATTGCTGCCATGGTCGTTAGCATTATCAGTAGCAGCAACAACAGCAGCATCAGCATTATCATCGTATCCGACGGAGATCCCTAGCTTCAAGGCTCAAGTCGTTGATACTATATTGCACTGGTTTGTACTAGTGTCCCAATACTGCAGTGCTTTTGCGGTGACGACGACGACAACAGTTGCTACTGCAGCCACTGTGTAGTGGCGGTAATGATAAGAGTCTCACACTGGGCAAACGAAGGTCTTATCTATGATCGCTCACTCACTTACATCATCCAGCACGTATCATCGGGATAAGCGTCATGATCACAATCACTCTTCGTTGTTTACATGTTTTAGCTCGTTTTTGATTCTATTTTTCTTTTGGAGCTCTGTTCCAGTAGATCCCACTAGTTTTGACCTACATTTGTAAAAGCGATTACTGCTCTATTTCTTGTTTTTGACAGAATGACTGACGTTTATCAAGCTAATAGCACCTTGTAGACATTCTGATGATGACGCTGTTACTTTGGTAAATAACGGAGTTATTTTGTGAAATCCAAATAATGCGTTAAAAGTAGGACGATGCCTACAGAACACAAGGTTACGAATAGCTATTTTTCATGATAGCAGATATATTTGCGCATTTCATGCCATATTGTACAACACATGCAGGTGTCAAATGCTGATGGCTACTTCTTTTGTAGTTGCTAATGTTCTTGTTTCGTCAATTTATCTTCTTCTAATAATCATAGAACATTCTATCCATGCAAATGAAGTATTTCTTTAGGATCATATAATATATAGTGTGGAGTATAGATGTACAGTATACAAATACGCGACAGCTATGATGTATAAGTTCCATTGCTGATAGCCCGATCGTAAACTTGCGTAGACACCCTGCTCATCTAAATACTGACGATATGAAAGTCTATCACATTACACATTGCTTGCCATTATCTTCTAACTATTACCAAGAAATGTAACGCAAGCTGGGTGATTCTTCAGGATGGGTTCCCAAAATCAAAACGCAGCAGACAATTTTCAACGACGTATTTACTTAACATGTCACAATTGCCGAAATACACTGTTGAATACAATCATTCAGCGCCCAACTGCAGAGGGCTTCACCCTGTATGCCTTACTTTTGGCAAGTGACATTACACTGCATGTAACAACATGTGAGGGCAACAAAAGGAGCCGAGACTCCGCATTAAAACAATAAATTTTCGAAGTTCGATCTTTAAGTAATCGATAAGTTCTTGACATGCCTCTATAATGTGAAATATATTTAGATGAAAAAACATTTGACGATTTCTGTGCAGTTTATAGTTTACGTACACTTTCAACCCATCGGGTGGTTGTCCGTGAATGACATTTGGAGTCTCCGTAGCGTTCTATGACTGTCAATCATAAATAACTAGTAAGTTAGTTTAAGTTGTATGTACATATATAATGTGAATACTACTTTAGTAGCCAGTGTTGAGTTTTACATATAGTCATACATACATACTAGGTCGTTCTCTCTTCAATGGGTAATGTTAGCTTGAACAAGCCTATTCAGGTTAAAAAATAAAACTGCCAATAATGTTATGATTTAGGTATGTTAAGTATCTTGCCGCACTTGTTCACAAATTATGTTCAACAGGTCAGATCATGTGAAAGAATATTTAAATGTGATTTAAAAATTCTTCTCTGTGGCACCACAACTCTTCTGGTCACTTGTCAGATTCAAAGACGGTTAAGGTTCACGTTAGCTGCAATATGGCAACTGTAATCAGTCCAGGCAACGTGATCAATGACAGATAGACAAACAGATTAACATGTGGAAAGACAGGTAATAGATATAGAGAAGAGGCCCTACCCGCGGCTTCCGCTGCAGCCGCGTGTGTTCGATGGACAGGATAATGATGCAAAGCGTGGCAGGGCAAAAGATGGTACGCAGGCCTTCAAGCAAATGCGGTTCAAGTACAGCATATGCCAGCTCTCTTAGTGTGGCAATCGGGGTCAGAATAGGGTCCCGTACGTGTCTTTTACTCAACTTCCACTCTGTACTGTCTTCCGGACCCCTGTCTTTGGTATGACAAACGTTGAGCCGATTCTATATAAGTGATAATCGACCCCGTTGCGCATACACACGTCAACATAACATACTGACTACATCTTTTTCGTAGTTCAGTTTCTCGGGGTTCATAGTTCCCGATCTGGGGGACGAAGCCTAATTTAGATTAAGATTCGAAACTACTCCAGTGTTTTAAAATGTACGTGGTATGAATGACACGTAGTGCTGCTAAAGATGCAACTATAGTTTTAATATTTCGATCCTTCTCGAATCATTGCCGACAAAGGCCTGAAGGTAGTAGCTTAATACCAGGATATGTTAAAGATACTTTTGCTATCATATAAACCTATTTGAACGTTGGCAGTGCGTCGACGTAAATGAAACAATCTAAAACAACGAGTACAATGTAACAGCTATTTGAAGGAATATTGTTACTGAAGCTGCATGTGTCTGTCCATACAACCAGAGCCATACAACATACACACAAATATATATGTGTGTGTGTGTGTATGTGCATATGTGAATGTGTGGCACTGCAGATTGCAGCAACCATAATAATAACAACAAAACGAATAACAATGTATGCGCGACCCTACTACCGTTTGTGTTCCTAATTTCCCAATGGTCTAAACCAGTTGTGTTCAAGTAGATTCAATACCTGCACATGATACTCTGGGTACTGCCTTTTATTGGGTGTGCATCAAGGTCTAAGCCTTGGTTTTAATGAAGAATGACAAAGACCATTTATTCGTATATCAAGGTCCGCCGTGATTAGCGAAGTACTATTGTACGTTACTGGTAATTTTTACTTAGCAATAAAGTAAAGATGAACAAACCGTCGTAAATGCCTTGGTTGGGGACAGGCTTTGAATTGGGCGCACATATAATAATAAACAGTAGCTTTATCAATACATTCACCTTAGTCCGCAAAAACTGATATTCTACAAAATGCTTTTAAAAACATAATATATATATATTTCATTACTAAGTGCCAGCATGCTTCTTTTTAAGATATCAGATCATTATGTTATCGCCAAATGAACCTTACTAAAAAGTAACATAGCGAACATTAATTAGAAAGATATGTGACTGTGTGATAAATATTTATTCGAGTGTGTGAAAGCGAGGCCATTTACACGTGGATCACAATTCATTGTTTCGTCTATTATTTATTTTAACTCAGTTGCATGAGAGTGGTAGGTTACCTGTCCAATTCCAAATAATGTGTTTCTTTTTATTCGCACACTTCTATACATTTGTATAAGACCCTTACGTAAATGTCCACAATCTAGTGAAACGGCCCGTTCGTTAATGCTCCTAGCCGTCATCATGTCGCTAAACAAATGCTTTTGATTCATGCAAAAGACGGCGCCTTCTCTGCACAAAGCTTCATGTAAGAAAGTGTACATAACAAAACATGAGTTTTATTCACTTCGTCACCATGCAATGCCTATAAAGACCACTCTATAACGAGTGTGCCTGTAAACATAGTGCCGCATGATATACATTGCAGAGTCGCTTTCATTTTAAGCAAACGCAGTTCTCAATGGGTTTGCGAAAGCCCGAATTGATACACAGCACGCAATGAAAGCATTGAACTGTAAATTTCCGGCATATCGGTTCGAACGATCTAGTTTCCTCCACATGTTATACCTCATCTCTCTGGTATAGAGAAAGTCCACATAGATTTTCAGGAATTTTCAGGAAGGTTCAAGTGCATTCTAAGATCATCAGTAAGGAGCGGTGCGTCAGCAAGAAGGTAGTCAAGTCTATTTCGTGCTGAGCGGGGCGATCACGAGAATGACTCTTTCAGCCGATTTAGCTGCTTTATGTTCTCTACTGTCAAATTCTGCTGTATTTCGTCAATGCTATAGGCTGCTGCTGCGACGGCGTTGAGATTGAAGAGACGTAGAACAACTGAGAGCAATACGCGTTGTGGATTCTTTATAGTAATCACAGCCAGTGTATGGTGCATTTTTCATTAATATGCGACTCAATGGTACCGGTATTGTGGTGTGAGCACCACACACACAACAGACTGTTTCAAAAAATGCTTTATATGATCAGGGTATTTCAAGCTGGCACTTAGTCTCCCCGTTTAAACTTCACTTCCGTCTTTGTGAGGGTTATCTTTAGACCAACTGCTGTAGCACTTATACGCGGCTCAGCAAAAGTCTGCTGTATCCGGTACATGTTATTCCCATGACGACTATGTCGTATGCAAGTAGGAACACCTCTACAAGGTTTATAGTCCCATAAATCTCTTCGAGTAAGCCCTAAGAACAAATAAAAAAAAAACTTAGATTATTTTTCTGTGCCGGTCCAGTGATTTAAGAGAACGGTAATGACTCAGAGACTCTATACTCGATCGTGACCTTGTTTTTTAAAGTGCAGCTGCTATTGAACCTAGCACATTTGTGGTAAATTTTACTTTTGCGAGGAATATTAATCTCTCTGTTTTTGAATTCACAAATATAGCCTAGGTGAATTTATGCGACGCTTCCACCGATTATTTAACATTTGCCGTAAGGATCTTCCGTGCCGTGGCCTTTGAGCGATCCTTTCTGAATTCATCGAAATTGCGCTCACACTTTTTGTGTAGGGAAAAAGAGAAGCTTAGCATGCGAAGCTTAGCGATGCCACGTCACGACGCGGGCTAAGTTGAGCCTCCTTTACCTTTCAGCCTACTTGCCTTCTTTGAAAGCAAGTTTGAAGATTAGAAGTTCTTGTTTCTTGGTCACCTGTTTTTTCGATATTGTATGATCTTATATCGCGGTGAACACAGCAATTTGTTGAGGGATAGTGTAGCTTGGCAAGAAGATTCCACCAAAATGATCGTTCAATATAACCTAGGATAAGTAGCCAATTCCTTTTTACAAACAAGTTATTTGTACTTGTAACTTTTATCCTCCCTGAGTAGAAATTATTCCGGTTGCTCTAGATATTTTTTACACTGCTGGGCATGCTTTTTTCAACATGTTACCCTGAAGCTTGCGGGTTGGATGCAGGTTTAGGTACGCGAACATGTATATTACTTGGGCTCGTCTATATAAACCCCTAAGTGAAAAAATGATGCCAATGAGTAAATCCTGGACAAATAAACCTACCAAAAAAAACAGATCATCTCAGCCCCTAGAGTACCCCACGATAACTAAGACAAATCAGCTAAAAAGAGGAAAACTCAAAAATGGACCCCATAGTCAGACAGACACCACCATCACTAATGAATATATGTGCTAACGTAGAGTAGGTATATATATAAATCAAGTAAAGACCATTCTTTTCAATTTCGATTTTGCAGCTTCAAATACGGATGGTTCAAAAATTCTTTATTGTGACTTATATACTCTGCGTGCCTTGCTTTTTTAGTTGACACCATTCAAAAGTTGATTGGATCAGCGAAGATTTTAAAAAACTTTAATGCTAGGAATTATATAGAGT